TGGAGCCACTGCTAGAGCCTGTGCTAGTACTGGAGCCCGAGCTGGAGGTCTTACTGGACCTTGACCTGGTACTGCTGCTACCACTGGAAGCATTGCGTCTCTTTCGAGTCTTATCCCTGCCGCAGTCCTTCTTGCTGGACTCCTTGGTGGCCCCTTTACCTTTAGAGCGATCCTTGGACTTCTCATCAGAGCGGTCTTTGCCTTTGGTGGGAGAGGGAGCCCTAGTGCTGGACTTTTTATTATTTTCTTTGACTCCTAGCAAGCTCTTTTCACTCCTGATAAATCCATTCTCCCCTTCTGAGGTGTTCAAAGCAGCAATGGTGGCCTCACTTATCTGAACTCTCACTTCTAACTTGATTCTGAGAAACGATCCCTAATCGATTGCAATTTACGCCAAAGAGCAGCCTAGTAACAAGATAAAAGGATTTAAAGAGTGAATGATTGGCAAGGCAATAAATCTGGTGGTTGGTTTAATACTGTCCCTCTTGTTCTCCCTGCCGTTTTCTAGCTGCCTCTTCCCTTTCCTTCTTTATTCTGAATTCTTCTTGTGCCTTCTGCTCCCTCAGCAACCACTCCTCATGTAATTTTTGCCTAACAATATAATAATCAAAGAAGAGAAATGCACCTTAATCTACAAATACACACACATACGTGATTAACAAAATGACACATTTTGGGAATGACTGAAATACCATGAAAGATGTTTTTTATAAAGCAGTGGAGTGGGGAGTAAGAGAAGCGGAAGATATCAAGAGGGTTTTTGGGAAAGCACTTGTGTCTGTAACTATGGTACTACTAGGTGATAACTTAAAATCACTGGTTCTTTATCTTGCAGATATGTATGGCTGTGACATCTTTTACAAAAAAACAGGACACTAAAACTTTTCCTTTAGGCCACTCACAGTTATGTTTAAGTGCCAATAAAGTGAGTAAGAAGTTTCAAAGTAACATTCAGCTTTTCACATTCAGAAAGTATGCCCATTCTTATTCTATGCACTGTAAAAGTAGCAATTCCATCACTGCACTACGAAAACCCAGCATCTTTCGTCACAGGCTTTTGGACTACCACTCCACACAGTTAGAGGGTTCCTGTGGCTTGTTTCAAAATACTTAAGCTGCTGAATGAAGGAAAATAAAAGTACATTGTGATCATGTCTTGTTTGCTTGTGTTTTGTTTTGTTTTGTTTTGTTTATAAGCTGGAGAGAATATGTGTTTGCCAGAAAGACAGAGACATGAGAGGGGGATAGGAGTCATGGGAGAAAGCACACCCCCATGGGGTATGGTCAGATCTCAATCCTTTTTCCTCCATCCCTCTCCATTCTGTCAGGATTTGGGTCACATACATGTGCAAGCGGTATGTATTCAAGCCTACAGGGCCAATATTTGAACAGCATGGTCGGCTATATGGAAATAAGGAAACTATAGGCTTTGAGATGACAAGAAGTTATAGAAATATATTCGCAAGTGCCTAGTTTATTTTTTAAAATGATCAATTACAAAGAATGATGTTACTTTAAAGCAGCAAGTATCTCAGACATCCAATATCACATTTCTAATTTAAAGAGAGGTTATTTTCAAATTTCATTTCCAATCAGATGTTTAGAACCTAGATTTCATTTTACCACTGAATCTGTACAAGGGAAATAAAATATGAAAAATTATTCTATATTACATCAACATTAGAATTTAAATAAGGCTTTATGTCTAGCCTGGGGACCTAATCACAATTTTAAATATTCTCTCAAAAATAGATTCCATTTCCAACTAACTACACATTCTGAGAACACATCTTTTAGCCATGATAGAAGCTGGTGTATGGTGTATGCCAATGTTCCTATGCATGCTTTAAGGCACCATATAAATGTGTCAGTGTGCAGAGCTCTGATTTATGAATCTTTGAGGAACATACAAATTGTATAAAACGGAACCAATTGGTATATAAATTTAAGACCACAAAAAAGTAAAATGTTAAAAATGTTTAAATTGAGTAACTTCAATATACTATACATCTACTTAAAACAGGATATGTAGCCATACAAAACTTTCACATGCAGCCACACACTGCTTAATGATCTACCTGTTTATCAACCGCTCAGACTTAAAACCGGCTCTCCAGCGTGAGAAATTCCCTTTCTCAGTCTTTGTTTTGTTCTTGCAGTTGGTTAGTATTCAAGATACAAAGTGTTTGCAATCACACAAAAGTACATATTTCATTCATAAATTTGTACCTTATTATGCATCCATAGTGGTATTCAGAATAAATAAAAGTGATTACATTGGGTTCATATTATTGTATTGTGTTGTATCTTGTCACTTTCTGGTGCTTATCTAATGTATACATTTTGTGCAGATAGAATTACAGTATTCTAGTGTGGTATCAGTGTTACCTACTAAAACATACATACCCTATGGTGCCATAACACACCACAAGACATCCACCTTTAAGCTCTGCGCTTATTGACCAATTTGCTTAACAACCTAGTCACAAAGGTGGACCCTGGCTGTTAAGTGAGGAGTGCAAGTAAATAGTTTATCTGTTTTTCAACAATAATTAAAGTAGTATAGAATTCGTGCAGGAATAAAGAAAGTTAAAATGAACACAACGATTGCAATTTACGCCAAAGAGCAGCATCTTCCCGCCGCCGCGACCTCCTCCTGCTCTCCTCAGCCGCTGAGGCCGGTGCTGCTTTGTCGTCAGAGTTAGGCCCGATATACAACTCTTAATGAGAGTTATTTTGGTAAACTAATTAACTGGTTGTTTGGTTAATACTGTACCTCTTGTTCTTCCTGCCGTTTTCTAGCTGCCTCTTCCCTTTCCTTCTTTATTCTGAATTCTTCTTGTGCCTTCTGCTCCCTCAGCAACCACTCCTCATGTAATTTTTGCCTAACAATATAATAATCAAAGAAGAGAAATGCACCTTAATCTACAAATACACACACATACGTGATTAACAAAATGACACATTTTGGGAATGACTGAAATACCATGAAAGATGTTTTTTATAAAGCAGTGGAGTGGGGAGTAAGAGAAGCGGAAGATATCAAGAGGGTTTTTGGGAAAGCACTTGTGTCTGTAACTATGGTACTACTAGGTGATAACTTAAAATCACTGGTTCTTTATCTTGCAGATATGTATGGCTGTGACATCTTTTACAAAAAAACAGGACACTAAAACTTTTCCTTTAGGCCACTCACAGTTATGTTTAAGTGCCAATAAAGTGAGTAAGAAGTTTCAAAGTAACATTCAGCTTTTCACATTCAGAAAGTATGCCCATTCTTATTCTATGCACTGTAAAAGTAGCAATTCCATCACTGCACTACGAAAACCCAGCATCTTTCGTCACAGGCTTTTGGACTACCACTCCACACAGTTAGAGGGTTCCTGTGGCTTGTTTCAAAATACTTAAGCTGCTGAATGAAGGAAAATAAAAGTACATTGTGATCATGTCTTGTTTGCTTGTGTTTTGTTTTGTTTTGTTTTGTTTATAAGCTGGAGAGAATATGTGTTTGCCAGAAAGACAGAGACATGAGAGGGGGATAGGAGTCATGGGAGAAAGCACACCCCCATGGGGTATGGTCAGATCTCAATCCTTTTTCCTCCATCCCTCTCCATTCTGTCAGGATTTGGGTCACATACATGTGCAAGCGGTATGTATTCAAGCCTACAGGGCCAATATTTGAACAGCATGGTCGGCTATATGGAAATAAGGAAACTATAGGCTTTGAGATGACAAGAAGTTATAGAAATATATTCGCAAGTGCCTAGTTTATTTTTTAAAATGATCAATTACAAAGAATGATGTTATATTAAAGCAGCAAGTATCTCAGACATCCAATATCACATTTCTAATTTAAAGAGAGGTTATTTTCAAATTTCATTTCCAATCAGATGTTTAGAACCTAGATTTCATTTTACCACTGAATCTGTACAAGGGAAATAAAATATGAAAAATTATTCTATATTACATCAACATTAGAATTTAAATAAGGCTTTATGTCTAGCCTGGGGACCTAATCACAATTTTAAATATTCTCTCAAAAATAGATTCCATTTCCAACTAACTACACATTCTGAGAACACATCTTTTAGCCATGATAGAAGCTGGTGTATGGTGTATGCCAATGTTCCTATGCATGCTTTAAGGCACCATATAAATGTGTCAGTGTGCAGAGCTCTGATTTATGAATCTTTGAGGAACATACAAATTGTATAAAACGGAACCAATTGGTATATAAATTTAAGACCACAAAAAAGTAAAATGTTAAAAATGTTTAAATTGAGTAACTTCAATATACTATACATCTACTTAAAACAGGATATGTAGCCATACAAAACTTTCACATGCAGCCACACACTGCTTAATGATCTACCTGTTTATCAACCGCTCAGACTTAAAACCGGCTCTCCAGCGTGAGAAATTCCCTTTCTCAGTCTTTGTTTTGTTCTTGCAGTTGGTTAGTATTCAAGATACAAAGTGTTTGCAATCACACAAAAGTACATATTTCATTCATAAATTTGTACCTTATTATGCATCCATAGTGGTATTCAGAATAAATAAAAGTGATTACATTGGTTTCATATTATTGTATTGTGTTGTATCTTGTCACTTTCTGGTGCTTATCTAATGTATACATTTTGTGCAGATAGAATTACAGTATTCTAGTGTGGTATCAGTGTTACCTACTAAAACATACATACCCTATGGTGCCATAACACACCACAAGACATCCACCTTTAAGCTCTGCGCTTATTGACCAATTTGCTTAACAACCTAGTCACAAAGGTGGACCCTGGCTGTTAAGTGAGGAGTGCAAGTAAATAGTTTATCTGTTTTTCAACAATAATTAAAGTAGTATAGAATTCGTGCAGGAATAAAGAAAGTTAAAATGAACACAAAGATACATGCATGTGGTTTAAAAGAATGATTTTGAATTAACAGGAAAACAAAAATTACTTCTCTATTTCATACCATATATACTGTCTTCATCATAACAGAAATCTACAATAACAACTAGAGTTATTATAATACATCCCATCTGCTGACACTGTTCTAAGCATAATACACATATCACCTTATTTAATCTTCACAATCCGATGAGATAAAGATACTAAAACTGTTTTTATCTCTACATTCATGACAAGAAAACTGAAGCTCATATACCTTGTAAGTAGTAGGGCCAGGACTGGAACTGAGATCTGGCTAAATCCAACTCCAGTTTTACAACCACTGCTACTCTTCTTACTTACTTTTTGGAGCATTTTTGATAATTTTACCTATCTATATGCTCAGATAACAGGAACTGATAACAAGGAAAGCAGCAACACTTTCCAGTGAATGTGCTTAACAGGGAATATCTGTAAGGCCTAATCCCTTTTTTAAAAAAATTTGTTGGGCTGGCCCCATGGTCTGGTGGTTGACAGCTGGATCCCTATATGGCCAAACACACAGCTCTGAGTCCTGGACCTGGTGGCTTAAAAAACATGCTGGGCACATATGTGTGCCTAAAATCCTGATATGATGGAGAAACAGAAAAGTGATTATGGCATAACCATGCCCCACTGGGGGGTGTTTTTTCTCTCTTCCTCTCTATATCTACCTGTCTCTCTCTGGTAAGTGCACATGCTGTCTCATAATTTTTAAAAATTGTTTTATTGTGATAAAATATATGCACCATAAAATCGAATATTTTAACCATTTTTAAATGTGCAGTTAAATAGCTTAAGTACATTCACATTGGTGTGTCCTATTTCTTTTTAACTAGTTTCTGAAAAGTACTAAGGGAAAAAGTAGAATCCCTATCTTGGGAGAAGGGAGACCTTTCTAAGACACACCAAGGCCAGGTATCATAATAAAAGTCAACAAGAGGGAACCAGCAGTTAGCGTAATGGTTATGTCGCTGGACTCCCACATAGTTGACCGCGGTTTGCGTCCCAGACCCGGTGGCTTAAAACTCACGCCGGGCGTGTGTGCATGTGTGCCCAGGATCCCAGGAGGAGAATGAGGAGAAGGGATTGCGGCGTGACCATCTCCTCTGGGGGGTGATTTCTCGCTTTCTGTCTCTCTGTCTCTCTCTGTCTGGCGAGCGCACGCGCCCTATAGCAAAAACCTCTCCAAAAAAAAAAGTCAACAAGAAAAAGATCAAATCATGGTACATAATGCTGTAAGTCAAGTTAGGACTGATGACAAATGAGAAAAATTTTTAAATTTACAGACAAAAGATCAATATCCTTAATGAACTAATAATGTTGCTTATAAAACAAATTAGAAAGCATGTATCCCCACCAAAAAAGGGTGAAATTTACAAATAGGTAATAAAATATATATTTTAGAAAAAAGCCCTCATGTTACTAATTTAGAAATGTACATTTGAAACAATGTAGGAAATGAAACAATAAAGGAAAACATGTATCACTTTTCCCTTTAGGAGTTTCACAAGTTGATAATGCCTAATATGAGTGAAGTTATGAGAAACAGGCATTTTCCATTCACTACTAGAAGGACTCCAAATTTTAACCACAATACCCTTTTAACCCAGCCATCTACATTTTACATGGACTTACTCTTCTTTTTTTTTTAAGGTTTTTGTCAGATAGCAAGTGTGGTCACCAGAGAGAGACAAAGAGAGGAAAAACGAGAAATCACACCCCAGTGGGATGGCCATGCCACAATCCTGTCTCCTCCATTCTCCTCTCAGCGTTTTGGGCATGTACACACACATGCCCAGCGTGATTTTCAAGCTGCTAGGTCTGGGACCCAAACCGCAACTAATTGTGTGGGAATCCAACTCCTTAACCACATCACTTGCTGGCCCCAGACTTTTCCTTTGATCCCAAGAAGAATTTTATTTCTAGGCATTTTTCTAAGGAAATAATTGGACAATCACCAAGAATACCTAAGCACAGATGCTCACTGCAACTTTTTACATAATAATAATAAAAAAACCTGAAAGCCCATCATTAGAGAACTATAAATTATGAATGAATGAATTATGAATAAAGAACAAAGTATGCTATATCTAGATGATTGGCCATTAAACTAGGTGAATTAGATCTCTGCATCATCACTGAAAAATATGTAGTATACATTTATCAAGAAAGCCGATTTGGGGGTCAGCCAGTGTTGTGGTGGTTAAGGTGGCTGCACCCCCCTTGGTCAACTTCATGGTTCAAGTACTGTACTTGGCAGCTTGAAAAACACATCAGGTTCATGTGCATGCATACTCACAATCTCAAGAGGAGAATGGAGAAGGGACTGCAGCATGGCCTTCCCTGTGGGGGAGTGCTTTCTCACTCATCTCACTCCCCTCCCATTCCTATCTCTCTCTTGTGAGGGCACATTATAAAAAACGTTTTCTTAGAAGTAATTTATGTGAAAACATGTATAAATATCATCTCATTATAGAAATGCACACATACAATATATTTATACTTTATTTCTTTTCCCACTATAGAAATGGAAACATACAATATATTTATACTTTATTTCTTTTCTTTTCTTTTTTTTTTTTTTTTTTAAGATTTTTGCTACAGGGCAAATGCGCTCACCAGAAAGGCAAAGAGAGCCAGATAGAAAGTGAGAAATCACCCCCAAGGGGGATGGCCACGCCGCAATCCCTTCTCCTCCATTCTCCTCTCAGGAATTTGGACATGCATGCACACATGCCCGGCATGAGTTTAAGCTACCAGGTCTGGGACTCGAACCACGGTTGACTACATGGGAGTTCAGCGACATAGTCATTATGCTAACTGCTGGTCCCGATACTTTCTTAACAATGGCTATCTTTGGTTCTGTTATGTTACTGAAGCCACTTCACTTTTTACACTTGTCAATTTTTTTTTCCCAAAAAACATTTACAAATTAGCAAAACACTAAAAAATACTTCCATTTTTAAAACATGCTAACATCTAATGCTGGTCCATGGGCCCAAGGTTTAAACAGTTTATATAGGGTATTTTATAAGACCTATTCTGTACAAAATTTTACACGGAAAACCTTTACTAGTTAGTAAAAGCTGGTAATAGTCTACCAAAATAACTGAGTTCACTTTGAGTGTTTGGGTTAGTGCTGACCTCTCTCTCTCCAACAGCGTCTCTTCCTACAGTTGTTGTTCTTCAATTAAGGCATCCTCCTCCTCCTCCTCTTGTGACAGTCCTGAGGGAATTTAAATGTTTTATTAAACTATGTGGCTACTATAAATCCTTGGGCAATAATCTGGGGAGGAAGAACGCATAAACGTTAGTTTTTATAATTACTGTAAAAACTTGATTTTAAAACTTTTTGTTAATGATTCTAATCATCCAAGTTTGTTACTATGTAAAGATCAATAGAGAAATAATGATAGTGGACAACGCATTAAATAAAAAAATTAACTAATGGTTCCATAGTGATACTCAAATGTGGAGGGTTGTGGGAAAGAACATTTATCTTTACAGAAGGCCAACGAAAACTGTAGAGAAACCTAAATGGAAAAATCACTTTTGTAACTTCTACTGTAGAAGTAAATTTCTATAAAAATGCTAAAAATATTAGATGAGGGCTAGCCCCAATGGTAAAAATATTAGATAGGAGCTGGATCCCACATAGCCAACCGTGGTTTCAGTCCTGGCCCTGCCATCTTCAAAAACACACTGGGTACATGTGCATGAATGCAGAGGAGGGGGTCAGAGTGACCATGCCCCACCCCCCCAGTGGAGAGTGCTTTCCCTCTCTTCCTATATTTTTTCTGGCAAGCATGTGTATCTTCTAGCAGTTAAGAAAAAGGAGGAGGAGGACAACCTGTGGACTGGTGGTTAAGGCAGCTGTATCCCAAATGGCCGACTATGCAGTTTATTTTTTTTTTTTGGAGAGGTTTTCGCTATAGGGCGCGTGCGCTCACCAGACAGAGAGAGACATAGAGACAGAAAGCGAGAAATCACCCCACAGGGGGGATGGTCACGCCGCAATCCCTTCTCCTCCATTCTCCTCCCCGGATCTTGGGCACGCACACACACGCACCTGGTGTAAGTTCTAAGCCACCAGGTCCAGGACGCGAACTGCAGTCGACTACGTGGGAGTCCAGCGACATAGCCATTACGCTAACTGCTGGTTCCTGACTATGCACTTTTGAGCCCTAGACACAGAAGCTTAACAAACATGTCAGGCATGTGTGTGTGTATGCACCAAAATCCCAAAATGAGGAAGAGATGGAGAAGAAACTTTGGTGTGACCATTCCCCAGAGCTGTTTTCTCCTCTTTATCCCTCTTTCCAGTGAGTGCACATCCTTTAATGCACAGACAGACACACACACACACACACACACACACACAAAGAATAAAACAATTTCTTCTTAAATGAAGAAACTAAGGCAGCTGAGAACATTAAGAGGAGAGGAAAAACATAAGGACACCAATAACTCCAACCTATGTTCTTTTTCCTTTTATCCCTGATGCTTTGTCCTGCCTCTAGTGGACTAGACCAGTTTTCAACTAGTAAAAAGAGATGCTGGGGCCAGCAGGTGGCATGGTGGTTAAGAGTGCTAGATTCCCAAATGGCTGATCATGGTTCGAGTCCCAGACCTGGTGGCTTGCTTTCTCACTTTCTCTCTCTCTCCTTCTCTCTCTGATGAGCGCATGTGCCCTATAGTAAATTTAAAAAATAATAATAATGAATAAAAATTAAGTAATAATTCTTCTTAAAAAAGAAAAATGCTAACACAAGTTACAGGTAAATATTCTGCTACTGCCATTCTAAATACAGGCACTCCTCACTTAACACCTATTTGTTTAATGACTCCTCAGACTTACAGCCACAGGTCTCTAGTGTGCGGAACCCCCTTTCTCAGTCTGTGTCTCGCTACACAAAGTGTTCAGTCACGTAACACTACATATTTTGTTTATGAATTTATACTTTATTGTGCACCCACAGTAGCATTCAGAATAAAAAAATTATATAGGATTTATATAGTTATGTGTCATGTTGCTTTCTGATGCTTATCCAATGTATGCTTTCTTTTTTTTTTTTTTTTTTTTGAGAGAGGTTTTTTCACTATAGGGCCTGTGCGCTCGCCAGACAGACAGACAGACACAGAGAGACAGAAAGCGAGAAATCACCCCCCAGGGGGGATGGTCACGCCGCAATCCCTTCTCCTCCATTCTCCTCTTGGGATCTTGGGCACACACGCACACACGCCCGGAGTGAGTTTTAAGCCACCGGGTCCGGGACACGAACTGCGGTGGACTACATGGGAGTCCAGCGACATAGCCATTGCGCTAACTGCTGGTTCCCCCAATGTATGCTTTTTGTACAGATAGGATTTTTGTACAGATAGACATTAGTTTGGTGTCATGTGATATCTATGAAAAAATACATACTCCATGGTGCCATGACACACCATGAGACACCCATCTTTAAGCTCTGTGCTTATGGACCAATTTGCTAAACAATCTAGTCATAGAAAATAACTTGGTCCTTAGTGAGGAGTGCCAAGTAATCCAAGTACTACTACTTAAGCAACTACAGTAGTTCCCCCTTACCTGCAATTTTGCTTTTTAGCTACCTGTGGTCAACCATGGTCTGAAGGCTTGTGAGTACAGAACAGTAATATATTTTGAGAGAGACCACATTCATATAACCTTTATTACAGGACACTATCATAGTTGTTTTATTAGATATTGTTATTACTCTTTTTCTGTGTCTAACTTATAAACAAAATTTTATCACAGGTACATATGCATCAGAAAAATTCAGTATGTTAAAGGGCTAGTTACTATCTACTGTTTCAGACATCCACTGGGGGTCTTAGAACATATCCACCATGGATAAGAGGGGACAACTATATTAGGGAACTCCAATGGTAAGTGAAATCTTTGTGGCTATGTTTCTCAAGGCCCGAGAATCCCGGTTACTTGAGCCCATAGTCTCTGGACTTTAAAAATTGTCTGGAATAATTTAATAAACATATTATGGATAATATGAATGGCAACCATTATAACCCAGCACAGCTTTCAGTGTTCCTATTTGCATTTATGACTACTATATAATCTAACTAAGTCCTAATTTTTATTATACAAGCAGGCAGATTTAATACATGTTAGGGCCCACTATGTGATGGCCAAATGACAGCATGATCACCTGTATACATTAAGTTTCAATAGTAGTTTAATAGAAAAAGTGGTAAATAACCACAGGTCAATGGTAGTAGAGGCATTCCAAACTTCCATCAGTACATCCATGCTGAAAGGAGTATCTGCTTCACAACATTCCTAGTGTTACATTAATGTAGATTTTAATTTAATTAATTTAATTGTAATAATTTTGTTTGGTTTTATACTTTATAAGTACATTGTGTTATACTTATATAAAAGTTTCAAAACTAGTATTATGCCTATATATATTTAAACAATATGAAAATAATTTAAATCAACAAAGGGTCTCTTACATTACTCAAATTTGAGAGAAAGTGCAAAGTTATCTGTTAAAATACTCAACTCCCACTGTTTTTTTTTTTCTTTTTTTGGAGAGGTTTTTGCTATAGGGCGTGTGTGCTCGCCAGACAGAGAAAGACAGAGAGATAGAAAGCGAGAACCCACGCCCCAGGGGGGATGGCTACGCCGCAATCCCTTCTCCTCCATTCTCCTCTCAGGATATTGGGCACGCATGCACATGCACCTGGCGTGAGTTTAAGCCACTGGGTCCAGAACTCGAACTGTGGTCGACTCCGTGGGAGTCCAGCGACATAGCCATTACGCTAACTGCTGGTCCCAACTCCCACTGTTTTGTTGTTGTCATCGTTAGTAACTTGCTATAGGGAACATGCACTTGAGAAAGAAATGTGGGGGTGGGGTGGGAGGAACAGGGGATGGTGGTGGTGATAATAAAGCATTCCCCAAGGGGATGGCCATGCTGCAATCTCTTCTCTCTGGATTTTGGGACCGCATGGGCATGTGCTGAGTGCGTTTTTCCAAACCTCTAGGTCAGGACTCCAACCGTGCTGTCAGCCGTGTGGGATCCCGTCGCCTTAACCACTAAACCACCGGCTGGCCCTGGGTGGTTTTATAAAGAAAAATATTCACCAAATACTGAGTATGTGCAAGGACTGTGTTAGCTGCTGTAATTCATGATGCCTGCACCTGTAATATTACTTTATAAATACACATAATCAGTGAGCAATGATTCATCATGACTTTTCTTCCCCTCTTTACTGTGTTAACTCTGTTTCCGACAAGGGTCTAACATAACTTTACTGAGGAGGCAGAGCCTCGGCAATTGTTCATCAGATGTAGTACTTGACAACCTTCTGACACTGGCGCCTCAAGCTGGGGTAGGAGTCTGTGAGGCGATGGCGGGGGAAGTCAGATTTCATACACAAAATAGGACGGGGAGCCCATTACCTGAGTCTCTCAGTCGGGCCAGTTCCTGCCGACGTTTCTTCCGTTTCTCCTTCTTCACGGCGGCCCGGTACTTTTTGTGGCTGGAAGATCAAGACACATACACCTGACAGGTATATATATACCTACCGCGCTGTCCTCTCCGCCGCACCCAGTGACAAGTCACTCCGGTGCTCCGGAGAGAAATCGTGCTTTCCATGTTTTTATTATCGAACAGGCGTCCACACCTGGCATCCTCCCGCACCCATTAGGCAAGTCTTCTCTATCCCACCACTTCTCAGTTCCCAGAGCCCACGGTTGCTAGGGACACCCCGGGGGTCTCCAGGAAGGACTGGAACTGCCGCGGTGACTCGCTTGCTTGGCCCAGCTCCCTTCTTCCTTCCTGCCTGCACATTCTTCATGCCCAAGGTCGGCCCACTCCGATCCCTCTTCCTGTCAGCTCATCTTCCCCAGCCGAGCTTACCTTGGTTTCTCGGGAAACATTATCTTCTCAGGAAACAGTTTTTCCCCAGGAGCCGCCATATTGCCGGCATCGCCCCGCCCACCAAGCTCTAGCCGGAAGAGGCGGGCTTAAGTGGAAGAAAGAACGCGCGCCAAGTTCGCGTGCCGCGCTGCTTCCTGCCGGGTGGAACCTAAAAGAGAGTGGGCGGGAGGTTCCCCTCAGTGACTTGTTTTTCAAAACGCTCCTCTGATAAATATCTCCTTCCCGAAAAATCCTCTATGGCTTTTACTCTGCTCTGTAAGTAATTCTTTACCCAGTGTTTCCCCGTGCTTTACCACAATCTCCCTCCCACACCTTAGCGGGATGTCTTTTAACTAAGAGGTTAAAGTCACACTTGTCCCCACTTTCTCCTCATTCGTTCACAAAACCTCATCACACGCAGAGCTGCACGCCCCATTTCCTTCCCAACAGCTCCAGGCTCCGCCAGCTTCTGCGGTTCCACCTATCAACACCTTGGACAAAGACCCGACCTCCACCCCCTTTTATTCACACCTGCCTGCTCCATAAGATTAAGGAATACTAACTCCTGGAGTTGCAAAGGTGTAACTTCTACCGGAGTTTACAGTCGAGGGACAGAAAAGGACTAATACATAGGTAATATAGTATGATACAGGCAAAGATGAATTTACTGAACATAGTCCACTTGGAGATTCGGGGCGCTTGCTAATGTTTAAGGTGAATTTTGAAGGAAGATGGCCTATACTCAGAGAAGGGTTGGAATGGGGTTGCAGGCAAATCAGTATAAGCAAAGACACTGAGGTGAAACTGGAATATGCTGAAAACAGTAATAATTTAAAATGCAATTCAAGAGTATCAAGGAATACAGCAGTTGAGGTGAACTGGGGCTGTGTTATGGAGGAGAGCCTTGCAGGCCATGCTAAGAGACTTTGTTTTGTAGGTAATGGAGAACCAATGAAGGCTTTTAAGTAGCAGCTTTTTGTGGTCATATTTCTGTTTTAGTTACCCTGGCAATATGAAGGGGAAAAAAAACCCAAAAAAACTGTGAATGTCACAGTAATCTAGGTGAGAGGTGATGAGTTAAAGTGGGAAATGAGAGTAATGACTTGAAAAGTAAATATCAGCCCTGCCAGTAATAACCTGCCCGCAGACTGGTGCTGCACACATACAAGTCCAGAGACAAAGCTAAGAAAAAAAAAAGTTTCTCCCCAGGACACTTTACAACTGCAAAATGACATTCAACCCCCATCTTTTGAGTAATTGAAAAACTTCCCTGGCCTAACTTTATTCCTCTCTCCTCCAAATTAAAAGTGCTGAGTTACCCAATTACCAAACTGCCCCCAATTCCCCTAATTCCTTAGAATCATTTAGCCAAAGCCCAAAACCTTACAAAAAGCCTTACCTTACTCCCTCTTGTTCAGAAAGTAGAGCAATGCATTACTCTCTTCAACTCAAGTTGACTTTGTTCAGTTCAGTGCATCAGAAGTTAAGAACATAGACTTTAGAGTTGGGCTAGGAAACAAAAGCCTTGGCTCCTGTGATCTTCAGTAAATTCTTGACTGTTTAGTCCTCACCTAGTTATCTGTAAAAATCAAGATAGTAGTAATAGTTTCCATCTGACAAGGCTTTTATTATGAAGATCGAATGAGATAGCTCATGCTATTTGTTGTCACAGTGCCTGGCATTAGTGAGTGTCCCAGAAACTTTGTTATCATCATCATCATCATCATCATCATCATCATCATCATCATTCTCATTGGTATGAAAACTTCCCACCCCCTCAAAAGAGGGTTAGGTATTACATGTGTTCCCAACACAAGTTTTATACTTATCACAGTATACTGCACTTTGTTGCCTTCACGTTTATGCTCCTTGCAATAAATCTTAAATTTTTTGAAGTTGAAAATTTGGCAATTGCATCCCCAAACTCGAGAATGCTCTGGGCAGCACAGAATATTGTAGTTATGCAAGTCAACTATTTTGCTGGTCCCTGTGACCAGGATTTATGGTCACAATTGCTGTCAAAGTGTCAATGTTTGAGTTACTGTTACGTTTCTTATTAATCAGACCAGACTTTCACTTCAGAATAAGTAAGAATGTCTTCTAGGAAGGTAATTCTAATTACAAAAGTATACACATGTAGATTTTGTTTTATTATGATTTTGAAATGAATATAAATCTCCTTTTAAAGGAGTTAGACATTTATTTTCAAGAATTAACCACTGAATTCATTTTCATAAACAAGCTTGAATTGCTCAAGTTAATTTCATTATAGAAGTAACTCTAAAAGCTTATTCCATTTCCAAACTATGATTGCCATAATTTGAATTCAATAGGG